AATTGATGTAGAATGACAAGCGGAACAAGTGAAATAATACTGGGGACAATTAAAACTGAGAGTAGTAATAGTAACAATTGACTGAATAAGGAAGAGTATACAAATTGAATAGACAAAAATGAAAAATTGGTAAAGCAAAAATATGATTGAGGATTACCATACTTTAGCTTAGAGGGATTAAGACCATTAAATGGAAGTTTGAGGGGTTGAACGAACGTTTTCTGTACACAGAGATCTACCTTTTCTGTTTCGATAGCCAAAAATGGCTTCAACAATACAGATGAGTCGAGTACGTAGTGATTTGGGTAAATTACTTTTCGCCTCGTAGATGACTTTGAAGGCGGAATATATATAGATAGGGTGGTCATTATCGACCGGATGTTCAATGATCGCACTTCTTATTGCTCCATCTCCACCTCTTCGCAACCACCATGCAGGATAGTGTTCTTGCACCCTCTTGGACAAAACTCCATTCGAACGACCGATATACCTAGCTGCACACGAGCAGGTGAATTGATAAACACACATAGAGTTGGTCAACAGCGGGATCTTGTCCTTCAGGTTATTGAACAGTAATGGTCGACTGGTAAAGGCTATTCTCAGAGATGCAGCAGGGAATGTGCTTTTCAGGGACTGTGATATCCTTCGTTTCATGATATCGGAAGCTAAATCCCCTTTGAATTCCGAGCTCATGTTAAGTATTTTCTTGGATGCGGTTGATAAGTCACGTTTTTTAGGGTTTGAATGTATATTGTTATCTATAAAACGTGGTGGAAATCCATTTTCTGTTAGGATTTTCCTCAAGATGTATAACTCATCTTCCACAGTATCAGGGCTACATATGCGCTGAATACGAGTGGGATATATATATATATATATATATATATATATATATATATATATAGTACTGTACTTGTTTCTCGGCGCAGTAAGACAGTATCTTGAACGCACACATACACTCACACACACACGGAGTAGTGACTGATACTGTGATATATAAACCAGCATGTATCGATCATTGAATCTTTCATGCGTATTAATGCGACTTATGTGTACATATTTACCTTTAAAAATGATCACAGTTCATATGAAAGCTATGGTTGCTTGTTTGTTTGTGTGTGTGTGTGTGTGTTCGTATGTGCGTATGTAATGAATCCTAAATTCCATAAATTATTGTTTCAGTTTATATGTTTGTTTGTTACTCCTCTGGTGATAATTGTGTGATGTCTGTCTGTCTTTCTTGCTGTCTGTGTTAGCTAAAACAAAAATTAGTGGACTTGATCACTTTTTCTGTTATGCCTTTTGTGTGTTTCTGAGTGGAAGTATATAAGTAACAATGGTGTCGTCGTTGCTTTTTACGGACGTTAGTCCAACCCCTCCCCCCTCACCTCTCCACCTCACTCAACTTCATTGACTTTGAAAAGTTTATAGACAGCGTCGATCGAGAGGTGATTTGGAAGCTACTTCGCTCCTACAGGGTGCGGCCAACAATTATACATCCCGTGCAACAGTTGTACGACAATGCTGCATGCCAAGTAATCCACAACGGGAAACTCACTAAATCCTTTGAAGTGAAGAGGGAAGTAAGACAAGACTGACTGGCTGCCTACTTTCTCCAATGATTTTCCTGATTGAGAACAGTAAACTGGATAATGCGACAGACAATGGGTAACGAGGAAATAGGTATAAAATGGACCTATACAAAAAATTGGAGGATTTGGATTCCGCCAGTGATGTAGGTCTGATTTCCCACAAACTGAAAGATATGCAAGTGATGAAAAGTAACAATTTGACGGTAGAAGAAGCATCAAAGATAGGACTTCAGGTGAACATAGAGAAGATCGGAGGTGATGAAGATTCCTGGCTAACAGCAACAACAATCAGTATAAATGGGAGGAATCTAAAAGAAGCAACCTCCTTTACCTACCTACCTACCTGACTACCTGGGAAGCATCGTTTCAACTACAGGCGGACGGAACTGATGCGAATATCAAAGCGAGGATCGGGTAAGCAAGGCAAGCTTTTATCTCTCTCTGAAGTCTGTGTGGAGGTCAACAACACCCTCTTTCAACACCTTGATTATGTGAAAACACACAAAAACAACCAATCACGTTCAAAGTCACCCACTAGGAGAGATGACTAATAGTGAACTCGTGGAGAAATCTAAAAGCTCACTTCAATTCAAATTGAAGTATGCGCTGAAGATGTTGCCTATTAGGGCAATGAAAGGTTCGCAAATAAACCATATCAGAAACCTCCTGGTGTTTATATTTGATGTATCTTAAAGTCAACTGAATCTTCACACCTCCAACGTTCGAATATCTTAATTTACAGTTGGAGATTTCGTATGTATTTAGACAATTTTCCTGTTATCTGATTTTCAAAAGGACTTCCTGGATAAATATATATATCCGGTTTCAACTGTGTTTCATAAGGATTTAGACTGTTTCTTGGAACTAGTTTGGTAGAGTTCAAGTTTGGCCATCTGAAAGGCGTGTACTCACCAGCGACTTTGAAACGAGGAGTAGTTGCTCTGGAAAGTAAATAGAGGTACCCCCTAACTGTAATTTTTCCCTAAACCTAACCCTAGTCTACCTTTATCATTATACCTATTATTGTTCCTACGGGTTGCGAGTGGAACATGGAGCTTCGACAGCACATCTGTACTTTGTCCTGTCTTCTACAATCCTCTCTAACTGGCCTCACCATGCCACATAGAGGTTCTCATCTCCTCCTCACACGATCACCTCCATGTCACACTCGCACCCTCATCAAAATCGTCTTTCCCTGTTTGAGTTCCGCTCGATAGTTCTCCTGGCTGGCGCTCGATGTCACCCAAAGGTCTCCTCAGCTTTCATCCAGTCCATTGTTAAGCAATAGTTGCTTGATTGTTTTGTTCCCAGAGTTTCTTGTTGTTAATTCTTTCTCGCCGGCACTGTAGTCTTCAATATGAAGTCAGAGAAGGCTGTAACTGTTGAAAATGGTTTTCAGAATGCGCCAACCCTTATATCTCCCTAATTAGTTTAACCTAATCGTAACTCTTCTCTAGCTTAAACCTCACCTTCATACTTTCCTAACTTAACATAAACGTCTGTGTACAAAGTTTGACTTCTTTATTATTATTATTGTTTCCTTTAATTCCTAGAGGAACATAGGGCTTCAGCCGTGCGTCTCCATTCCGTTCGGTTCTCTGCCAGAGTCTTCACCTGGCTCCAGGTCTGCACACATGCTTTCATCTCCTCTTCACATGACCTCCTCCAAGTCACCCTTGCACTGACGACCAACTCGCCGCTTCCCTTTCGGCCAGGTTCCACTCGAGCGATGGCTTGTCTAGTGATGCTATCCTCAGAGTATGGCCAATCCATCTCCATTTCTTCCTGCCTATTTGTTTCACAATCGGTTCCTGCTGTGTTGGTTCGCTCATTGCCAGAGATCTCTGTTGCTGATATTTTCTGGCCAGTCATCTGATCTTCAGTATTGAGCGAAGACAACTGTTAATGAAGGTCTGTAGTTTGTTTGAGATGATGTTTATGACGCGATGCCAAGTCTCTGATCCGTACGGTGAGTAGCACTGACTGACTTCACATTGTAGTTGAAAATCCGGATGTTATTTTTGATGCTGAGTGCCTAGTGTTGACCTCCACACAGACTTGAGAGTATTGAAAGCTTGTCTTGCTTTTCCGATGAGGCTTGCTTTGATATCCTCGTCAGTTCCGTCCGCCTGTAGTTGAAACGATGCTTCTCAGGTAGGTAAAAGAGGTTGTTTCTTTCAGGTTCCTTCCATTTATGCTGATTGTTGTCTGTTGTTGTTGTTGTTGTCGGTATAACTTCACAACCTTGTCGATTGATTTCCCGTTCTTACTTAGCACTCACTCGATCGAAACTTAACCTCAGTATTGCTCACCTTATTACACCCCTTAACACAGGAGATAGAAGGCAGATACCTATGATCAAAGACAGCTAGCTAGTCTCGTCATATCTTCCACTTTCAATGGCCATATCTCACTCACAGCGATTAAGGAGGACAGAGTGAACTGCTGAGCAGTACACACACACGCTCTTTGCTCAATATCCGGATATCACGTCTACCAAATCAGAGATGGAGTAATTTGGCATGTATGCCAAACGCGCCATCTGTATCCGTGCTGGAATTTCGTCGGCGATCAAATTGCTGGCGTTGGCTGATTTCATTGCCTAAATAACTGAAGTGGTCAACACACTCCACCAACCACTTCACTTCTGCTTATCTTTAAGCTAGAAGTGAGTCAATGTAATCCGGTCCTGTGTAGCATCAACTTACATTTAACGGGAGCAAATTGCATGCTAAACATTCGAAGATTGCTCCTCTAAGTGTTCAAAAGACACTGCTTCATTTTGTCAGCGTCTTCACCTAGAAGGACTATATCTCATTTCTGGGGTGAAAATCGTTGAAAACCAGTGAGTACTTAGCATCTGTTTCGTCCGAGTCTGGGACTCTTCAACACTGCTCACCTCCCGAGGCCTCCAATGACCTGTGATATCTAACTGCTGTCAATTTGTGCGGTACATTGCTACCACCAGTTATTGCCTTCGATGGGCTCCAACTGCACCTTGAACATGACGGACTCCGTTGGCCACGACATTTCAGTCCAAATCTCTATAAATATCTGTGATCTGAATTTTCATTGGGTTCGTATTGGAACATAGAGCTTCAACAATATATTTCCACTTTGTTCTATTCCCTGCTGCTCTCTTTAGTTGGGCCCACGATTATCCATAGTCTCTTTCATCTCCTCCTCTTCACACGATCTCCTCCATGCCACCCTCGCACCAACGACCTACTCGTCGTTCCGCATTCGGGTTCCACTCGAGCGGTGGCTTGATGTCATGGCTGGCACGCGATGTCATTCAACGGTCTCCTTAGTGGCGTGTGTGCCCAATCCATCTGCATTTTCTCCTGCCTATTTAATAATTAAATATTAATCCCTAAATGTATTTTGTTTTTATTTGTTTTTTCTTAGTTGAGGTGATTATTCGTTTGACAACTAGTATTGCTGGTTCACTGACTGGTTTCATCCTGCCAGGTTTAGTCCTCTTGGTAGCAACAGCCTCTTTCTCCGCCGCCTCCCCACCGTTATCGTCGCCGTCGTCGTTGTCACCACTGTCAACGTTGACTTCGTCATCATTTAGCGTCGACAGCACACCAGAGCTTTTAACACCACCACCACAATGACCAAGTTGCATTATAATAATAATTATTATTCTGTTACATGGTTACTAAGAAAAATGACAAAATTTCTTCGATTCGGTCGAAATTATTCAGTTGCCTATTGTCTACTGATTGTTGGCTGTCTATTATTCTCATCGGAATTTTTCACTGTGCATCACAGCAGCACCAGTAACCCAGAGAGTAACAATAATAATAATAATCATAATAATATATTATCAGTAAATAAACATTCTATGATTATGCCTATTGACAGTCAGAACAATTCCAGTGCCATTGTCTATTCAAAAGTTGTAAAAGTCACCAATGCTACAATGAAGAATCCACCACAACCGATCGATATAACAAAGCTTCAATCTTCATCATCTTCTTCTTCTTCTTCAAAAGTGAATGTGAAGGAGGGTTCACAGTCGAATAGTATCGAAAAAAGGAGTATTAATAACGACAACAACAATAACAACGATAAGCAGAAGAACTTCGCTATCCCACCTCCCCTTTCTCAACCACCTAATAAAGAACCTCAGAAGAAAGCGGATGAAATGGCTAAGAATTCATCGGAACTACCACTAACATCGAATGAAGCTGTTCAGGGGAGGAATAATGTTAAGAAGGATAAGGATAGCATTAATAATAACAGTCATAACGAAACTTGAAGATTACAGTTTTAGAGAGCAGTAAAAAATTTTTTCTAAAAAAGATAGCTCTAATAATGAAAAGAAATAGGAGAATGTAAATAAACCGTCAATTGTATGTTCATTCACATGTGTTTAGTGTTATTACATCATGACCAGTATTTTCTGTTTATTCATGTTCCTATATGATGTAATAATATTATGTATGCTTATATATTTCTTCTTTTATTTTGCTTAATAATAATGAATGGTTGTGAGCGAACATGCGTGTCTATGTGTGTGCTGTGTGCTATTGTAGGTGTTGTTGTCGACCTCCTCCCGACACTTTGCCTCTTCCTCCTTCTTCTTCTTCACTCTTGTTTTGGTTCACTCACCACCCCCCCCCGCAGTAGACAAAACAATCAGTGTTTGTCTGCCTTTCATTTATTGTTCTGTGATATGTATACATTTTAGTAACCCCCTCTTTTCTCCTCTTTCCATCTTATTCTCCTGTCATCTAATCTTGGAATTGTGTTAAACGAATGGAATGGAAAAGGGGGACAATTGTCAACTTGTCTCTATTGTCTGTGTTTGCTTTAATGTTCAATTACTCAGTTGTTTTATTATTTTACAACTATTGAACATTGAATAATCTTGGCGGTTTTTTTGAAAACAAAACAAACAAGTACTGTCTTTCGTCTTTTTCTTTCAAGTTTCTTGCAGTTATCCTCGTTTTATCCTTTTTTTTCTAACTCTTCAGCGTCATTCATAGAATTTGTTTTCTTTGCTCGTCAGATAAATAAATGACAGATCGACCGATACTACTACTATTGTAAGTAGTTTATTTTGTATTATATATATATGTATATTCACGAGTAGTATATAAAAGGAATAAAATACAATTATTTTCAGGATGGATGATGTTTTGATGTTTTCTCTGTTCTTCAAGGTTAGCTGGCTGTTCCATAAGTGTAACTTTCTGAGTAGGCGTCGGTGGCACAGCGGTTAGGATGCTCGCCGACCGGCCAATGCACAATTGATATCAATGGTCGGCCTGCTACGGATAGCACATGCTGGAAATTCCACAGTTGTACCAAAATACGGTGTGAAATCAACCTGTAATAAAAATAGTCGTCGTCTGCCATAGAAAAAGCGATGGTGAAATCAGACATCACATAGAGTTTTGTGTTACGTAACATTTTGGACGGATAAATGAAACAGAAAATCAAAACAAGTGGGGATTCAGCGAAGAGACTCTTTTCAACGAATTTATCATCAAGCTGTACAATCGTATATATATGGTTTTTAAGAAGTTATATCCAGTGAGGGAATTGAATCATAGGTGTGAATGCATAAAATAATAATAATAATAGTAGTATGAAATGCAATTAAAACTAAAATGTTTGTGATTATAATCATAGGTAAATGTCAAGTGGCAAAGCAAATTAATGTCATATATAGAATAATTCATAGGATGGATAGAACTTGAAAAAGGGTGTGCAATTATAAGATTAGTAGATAAATCGAATAAAATAAAAACGTTACATAATATTGTGTGAAATTTAATAGCATAGAATTTAATGTTGTAAAAAGGAATTGATTTAGAATGACAAGTGCAACAAGTGAAATAATACCGGGGACAGTTCAAAGTGAGAATAGTAATAGTATACAATTGACGTAATAAAGGAAGAGAATACAAATTGAATAGACAAAATGAAAAAATTGGTTGAGAGAAAATATGATTAGGGATTACCATACTTTAGCATTGAGGGATTAAGACCATGAAATGTTGGAGGGGTTGAACGAACGTTTTCTGTACACAGAGATCTGGCTTTTCTCTTTCGACAGCTAAAGATGGCTTCAACAATACAGATGAGTCGGGTACGTAGGGATTTGGGTAAATTACTTTTTGCCTTGTAGATGACTTTAAAGGCGGAGGCTATAGAGACAGAGTGATCATTATCGACCGGATGTTCAATGATCGCGCTTGTTATTGCTCCACTACCACCTTTTCGTAACCATGCAGGGTAGTGTCTTTGCACCCTCTTGGACAAAACTCGAGTCGAACGACCGATATACCTAGCTGCACATGAGCAGGTGAATTGATAAACATACATAGAGTTTATCAACATCGGGATCTTGTCCTTCAGATTATTGAACAGTAATGGTCGACTAGTAAAGGCTATTCTCAGGGATGCAGCAGGGAATGTTCTTCTCAGGGACTGTGATCACATGATTTAAATGAAACAGACTCATTTCGAAGTAGTTCTGTTCTTGTTATGACCGGAACTTCGACCCAGTAGACTATGAGCGAATGCTATCTGAATGCTCTGGCTAGTCTGTCCTAATCGCACGTCAAATACACCGCAGGGCAATAAAAAGACAGAAGAAAAAACTGGACTTTGATAAGAGGGCTTTTACTGTCTGAAAACAGCAGTAAAAAAGTTTGACGGCTCTTGCGTGTATATGTATGTCTGAAATGACCTTGAGAAGCAATAATGTCATTGGTAAATCGAAACGGCGAATAGCCAATAGGATTCGAAAGGTCATAAGTAGGGTGAGAGAAATACAAACAGACATGTAGAAAATTAGGTCTATATATATATATATATATCAGTTCTCCGAACTGGTGTGGTTTAATTGCGCAGCTTTCAAAATTAAATAAATGAGTTAGTTCCACAAGGAATTCGTCAATGTATTATACCCATAATCAAACATAATAACCAACCTAACACTCAAGAGTAAAATGCATTGAAGAATAGAAAAGACAATTATACTAGATGGTTGGAGGCGATCGGCCACAGGAAGCATTGGACCTGGGTTTCGAGCTCCTTGGCACTCGTCAGCAAGACGTGCTTGCAAACTTGAAGAATCTCATATCCCTTCTGAGATTCAAACCCGCATCACCCAGTGCTATTTGCAGTCAGAGGCGTTAACACTGGACTATTCAAGCTTACGATTGACCTCCTGTAGAACTGTTGTAGATACTTTGATTGGACACTAGAAACTAGTGTAATGTGTATCTAGTCCTTTCTGTAGTGCAGACTGAACTCTACCAGTCACATTTGCAATGTGGCCACTGTTCTAGGTAGCTCGTCATCATGGTGCCTGAATAGCTCAGTGGTAACATCTCTGACTGCAGTACTCACTGGATGACATGAGTTCGAATGTCAGAAGGGCATGAGTTTTTCAAGGTTGCAGATATATTCAAATGAACTGTCGTCAAGATTTGACAGAATAGTTCTAAAATATTTGGGCGCCAAGTGAGAAGTAGACATTTGTAAAAAATTATATTTGTAAAATCTCAGCGATATTGAAATAAGTAATTCCAACGTTTTGTTCGGAAATCTGGTCCGAACTTCATGGAAATTAATCGAAATTAACATAACAGAGGTTAAATATACAAAGGAACATCACTTATTTTTAAAAACTTTGTCCAATCATGAGCCATTCAACAAGTATAATAAACAAAATTTTATGAGCTGTGATCAAAATTTGACCCCGGACATACAAATAATGGTCTACCTTTATTAAACACTTTAGACAGAGTGTGTATGTGTGTGTGGGTAAACAGTTGTAAAACATTTCTTAACGTCTCCATAAGAAGATATGGATATCTACATAAGTTTACTGTTACAATCAAAACCGACTCATTGTAGTTTGACCTCCCCACTTGTTTTGATTTTCTAGAAGATGAGTTCACAATATTTTCCCGGTACATGTGTCTTTCTTGCCTTTGTTCCAAGATCCTTTCAGCTGAATGAACTATACTTGTTTCATTTTCACAAATACTTCCATGGAGATTATTCATGAATTCACAATGGAAAAATTCTACAAAATACTAAATGACTTTCACACTGAACTAATGTCTAATCACAATTAAGCTTCTTTATAAGTCAAGGTCAGGTGGTAAACACACTACCGGTGATAAGATAAGATAAAGTCATCGGTATTAAGTTACACGCTTGTTTTATTGATCAAATTGTGTCAATTAAGTTTATCCGGATGTTAGGACGGACAGACAGTACAGCGACATACGCAGTGTTCTCCAGTGGCTCCTCAATCGAGAACTAATAAAACAAATCAAAGTGTTAGGACAAACGTGCATCTTTGTTATCCTTGAATCAATAATATCAATAGATTACACTTCAATAGCATCAATATAACAATACCCTACATTGAATATCAAAAAAGCAAATTAGGAAAGATAATAATACATATTCATGGATTTATAGTCTCCACTGAAGGCTGGCCAGAGCAGTAGTAGTGGCTGGTTCAAAGAAGAGAAGAGAATATTCTTTAATCAGTAAACATTCTATAGTAATGTATCTGTTATTTGCTGATTCATTTAAGTACCAAGCTTCTAAATATTTCCTGGTGATCTCTCTATTTAAAATTTCTAAATAATCTAATTGGAGGATCTGGACATCGCCGACGACACGTGTGTCTGATTTCCCACAAACTGGAAGATATGCAAGCGAAAAGCAACAAGTCGGCGATAGAAGAAGCATCAAAGATAGGACTTCAGGTGAACATAGAGAAAACAGAGGTGATGAAGATTCCTGGCCAACACCACCACCAACAACAACAACAACAGACAACAATCAGCATAAATGGAAGGAACCTGAAAGAAACAACCTCTTTTACCTACCGATCTACCTGGGAAGCATCGTTTCAACTACAGGAGAACGGAACCGATGAGGATATCAAAACGGCGAGGATCGGGAAAGCAAGGCAAGTTTTCACTACTCTCAAGTCTGTGTGGAGGTCAACAGCAGTCAACATGAAAAATAAGATCCGGATTTTCAACTCCAATGTGAAGTCAGTCAGTGACACTATACAGATCAGAGACTTGCACTGCGCTTCATAAAGGGCACCTCAAACAAACTACAGACCTTCATTTACAGTTGTCTTCGCTCAATACTACTAAACATCAGATGTCCGGCCAGAAAAGATCAGCAACACAGATCTCTGGCAATGAGCGAACCAACACAGCAGGAACCGATTGTGAAACAAATAAGCAGGAAGAAATGGAGATGGATTGGCTGGTCATACTCTGAGGAAACCATCAAGTGAGTGACATCACTAGACAAGCCATTGCTCGAGTGGAACCCAGCCGAAAGGGAAGCGGCGAGTTGGTCGTCAGTGCAAGGGTGACTTGGATGAGGTCATGTGAAGAGGAGATGAAAACGTGTGTACAGACTTGGAGCCAGGTGAAGACTCTAGCAGTGAACCGAAAGCAATGGAGACGCACGGGTGA